GTTCACGGAGGCTCCGGCGGCCCGTCAAAAGGAACTCGGGAAGTCATGCTTCCATGGGGTTTAACCCCCGTGTGATACGGAAAAGTAGGGAGAAGAAACGTCCAGCTGAACGGAATGTGTTACACATGCACGCCACGTTGCCACGACACCTTAGGGCTTTTGCATCCCAAAGGCACGAATCGAGTGATGGGGTTCCCGTCTGTACAGGCATTAGTTGTCCAGGGATCATCCCCGTTGAAATGGAAAAGCGGCCTCTCTCACATGTTCATTGCTCACCGTAGGTCTCCACGGTCTCCGCCGCCAGGTAGTGGAGCCTCGTTCACGATCACGGTGTCGGTCGCGGTCCAGGTCATGGTCCCTGTGTCGGTTCGTTCGGTGCGTCGACTACGTCGGCGGTCTTGGTTACGATCACGGTCTCGGTCGCGGTCACGGCCTTGGTCCTTAGGGCTTTTCTTGGGCTGCTGGCACGGGTTTGCCCCGTCTTCCATCGTAGGATGTAGATTGCCTTCTCGGTGTCCCTGCCACTATCGCGATCACGACGAACAGGTACTCCCGCACCCAGTGTAGCGCTCGAGGCAAAATGTTATGGGGTACTCCCCGGCAAAGGTTCGCCGATATCGATGGTGTAGTTGGTGTCAAAGGGCAGAATGAGCAGGGGCAGCAGCGGTCACCGTGCAGGACCGAGGTCACCGTACTCGTCGAGGAGGGCCTGCGAGGAGAAGCACGCGAAGATCACGTCCGCCCTGGTCTGCAGTGGCGGCACGTGGCGACTCTACAAGAAAGGGCCACTTGAGGAGAGGGGCGGCGGATATGTGACTCAAGCACTGCAGGAAGAAGCAACGGGAGCTCCCCCGAGGGTGTACAGCCCTCGGGTCAACCCCGCGCCTCCTCCCCAATGCAAAGGGGTGTCACAGACCCCTAAGCAAAGGTGCAGCACTTGAGCCAAAATGGCTACACTCTCTCTCTCTCTCTCTCTCTCTCTCTCTCTCTCTCTCTCTACGAGGTGGGAGGCCCAGGGTGGTCCGACCCTGAACCCCGCGCGCGAGCGCGCACCCGCGGTCCTCGGGTGTCTAACGCTCCCCCATACAGATATGCTGTATGGAGCTCGGCTGTACAGCAGACTCCCCCGCGGTCGGCAACGAGACTTGTTAACAAGAGCAAACAAACTCGACAAAAGCTAAGGCTAGGACCGAGACCTGAAAAGGTCTCTTGCCCTTCGGGTATACATGGTTCTCCCCCAAGCAAAGACGTGAAGCAAACATAATTAAGACTATGAACACAAACACAGAGTTGGCTTGAGGGAGTGGTCAGAGGTACCTAGGCAAAAACGTGCATCCCCCCGCCGACTTTGGCGAGACCTATGTGCTGCCTATGCTGGACTGGTACGAATTGGGCCTAGGCCAGCCTCTTGAATTCCCCTCCAAAGTAGGAAACGAGTGTACAGGTGCGTTAAAAAGACACTAGGATTTGTGGGCCAGGTTGGGCCATTGAGCGAGGTTTACCTGTGAGAGGCATGTTGACATGCTTGTTTGAAGACTTCACACCAAAGAACTGACATGCACTCACGGATTGTCCGATCGTGTGGAAAATCCCCCCTTACACCCCTCAGAAGTCGGCGCGCTCACGGGAACTTTTTGCAACACTGCTCGGAGTTGGTGGCAAGGAGCTTCGTCCCCGTCCCCTCTGCAGGCAGGAGGAAAATCCTCCCTGGTCACTGTTCCTCCCGATGTCTTCGGGATCGCTCCATATGGCTTTGTACTTCACGGATCGCTTGCCACATGCGGTTGGGAAGAAGTTGAACTCCCCCACTCTGTGGTCCCCCCACAGGCTCGTTGGGCCTTTGCCCTAAAACTCCTTCACTGCGTCCATGGCCGGAAGGACGTCCCTGGTCCCCCCATGGCCAATTGCTGTGGGGTGTGTCGTCGTCTGTCTGGCTGTCGCCCCCCCAGTCCGGTGGGGTGTCTCCGTCAGGGGGCGGACTGCTCCCCCTGCTCGCTGTTCTCGCACGCTCTGTCTCACTGCGGGTTGCTTTCTCTGCGGGCTGTGGTAGGTCGCCATCAGGACTTGCAGTTGGTCTCGAGCTGTCCCCCCGCGAGGGTGCCTCCTTTGCTGTTGAAGCTGGTCCCCCTTCACGAAGCCTGTTGCTCCTCCTGTTCACTGTTTTCGCACGCTCTGTCTCACTGTGGGTTGCTTCCTCTGTCAGCGGCAGAAGGTCGCCCCCAGGGCTTGTAGTTGGTCTCGAGCTGTCTCCCTTCGAGGGTGGCTCCTTTGCTGCTGAACCTGGTCCCCCTTCACGTCGAAGCCTATTGCGAATTTTGCTCGCCTTTGGCAGCAAGGGGTGCACTCGTGCAGGGAAACGCGCCACAAAAGCGCGGGTCTCGTCCGCCTGTAAAGGGAGGTACTTGTCAACGATATGGAAGAGCTTGTCCGCCTGGCGTGCCTCTTCGTTGCGGCTTTCATGCCGCTGAAGATAAGCTTTGTATTGCTTCCCCTCCTGCTTGGTGAGGGCTTTCCCGGTCTCCATGTCCACGAGCTTCCCCTCCCCCGTCTTCTCGATTTCTCTGCTAATCCAAGCGTCCAATAGATCGGGCTCATAAAGGAGCACCACTCCCTTTCGGGTGCGAAAGCCAGTCATCTCACTCAGCGGTCTGGTCGAGGTTGAGCTGCTACTCCCCCGGCCCGTCGTGGTAGTGCTGGAGGGAGTGTCCCCCCCTTGTGGCGATCTGCTTATTGACTCTGCTTGTCCCCCTTCTCGCGGTGGGCTTCTACTTCGGGCTCTTGGTGGGGTTGTAGCTGCTGAAGTCCCCCCATGTAGTCTACATGCTGGGTCGGTGCGATCGTGTATTTTTCGCATCCCCACCGTACATGTTCCTGATGCAAATCTGCAAAGCTTGCACGTCCCCACCATGATCTTCACTATGTCGCGGCCGTTGCCCAAAATCACGACCGTTGAGGTGATGGACTCCCCCTCCCAGCGAGCTGGTACAGTGAGCACGCTGTCTCGAGGAATGCAAAGGCCTGCAGGTCGTTGTTGGCCGTCCCCCCCTCTGCAGGAACGTTGGTGGAGAAGAACTTACAGTGTCGAGGTCACGCTCAAGGACAAAGATGTCACGAACTTCACACTCAAGACGATGGCTCGCAAAGCTATCCCCCGGGTTTAGGCCACTGGAGCAGAACAGCAACGGCGGTTGGCCTCAAGCCTACCCCCGCCCGGGGCACGTCCACCCAATGGAAAAGCTGGGGACAGCCAGCTATCCCAGAGGGCCGGCCTCAGGCGCCCCCCCCAAAGGAGAGCGGCTGGTCGACTTACACAACTCTCTCTCTCTCTCTCTCTCTCTCTCTCTCTCGCTCCAGCTCAGTAGAGAGAGCACGAGCAGTTCTCGCACCCTCCGTGCGTAGCAGCGCCCTGGTTCTTATCTTCGGTTTGGTGAAAAATGGTTTTCGGAGAAGAGGACTTGTTGTTCCCTCTCTCTCCTTAGTTGTATGGCCAATGTACAGACACCGAGATGTGGGATGTAACAAATGCTACTGGTAGGAGGCATGCGAGCCGAAACGGGCAACCTCCCCGCATTCCCCCCCCTCTGACCACAGATAGTCCCCCCCTGGCCTCCCCCGCCTGCCTGCCCCGCTTCCCTCCCGAAGCTATAAAGCAACAAAAAGGAAACAGCGAAAGAAGCGTTAGCAGCCATTGGCACTTGCACAGCATGACCGCTAGCGGATCTCGGGGCCGGCGGTTCAGGTTCAATTAGCAACTTCAGAAAGCTGCAGGTCCTCGACTCGCTGCTCCGCCGCCCACTTTAAAGACCTACAGGCCGGAACGGTTAGAAGTTCGAAAACGACGCTTTCACCGGAGCTGTGTGCTGAGACAAGACAAGAACCCGTTGCACGATGCGGCCCCGGCTCAAGCTCTTCTTGCTTCTCTCGCAGCGCTTCGTCCAACTGCCGGGATGGCAGAGGGAAGATGAGCAATTCACGTTAGAGAAGTCTGCAAAGAAGATCGTCAACAAGACACGCAGCAAAAAATCAGATGTAGGCAGACTGTCCTGCTTTGCTCACCCTAGCGGTTGTAATCTGCTTTCAACAGATCTTATATGTTTCACATAATAATATTTATTCATTCCCTGCGGGGTTTCCTACTGGTGGAAGTGTGTGAACAACGAAAACATCGAACAAGACTGAGCCTGGTCCTCGAATACAATCACCCGACGGCATCTCATATGCAAGCTGTCCGTTCCGGGATTTAGGACTCGAGAGTCAACATACCCTGCTGGTGAGTTCTAGTTTGGAAAGCCATGAAGTTGGCCAAGCAGGCCTGAACCAACAGTTACACACGGAGGAATGCAGGCAGCGGCAGCATGAGCTTTTTTTTTTCAAAGAGCCACCGAACCCCTCGTGGTCCTGAGCACCCAGTACATTTCATCGTCCGTGAATGTACACCAATCCCGTTCGTTCCATCTGGACAACGTCGCGCCGCTTTGCAGGCTCAGTTCTGGAAGTTCAGCATCAACCTTCCGTTAAGCAGTATGAAACATGCGCAGGTCGACAGCCGCTAAATTCAGCAAGAATCTGCGCAGCCAGCACGAGCAAGAGCCTTTACTTGGTCCAGTACGGATCAACGTGCCTGCCCGGTCTGGCACATCACATATCTGCAGATCGTCCTCGCAGCTTTAAAGTAGACTGCACGATGTCCGTTGACCAAAGAGAAGTTCATGCTCAGGATAATATGAACATCAACGTCTTGAAGCCTTGTACAAGTAGGTGCTACACCTTCACAGCCGCAGAAAATCCTTGACCGGGTGGTAGGCGTAGAAGGTCGCCGCGCTGAACAGACCCACCTCAAGCAACCAACTCGCACGGAGCCTAACCAGTGACTCTAGCCGACTAGAGCCACACCAAAATCAAAAGCCCGGCCGATTCAGCATCACTTGAACCGAAGAAGTTTGATAAGATCAAGCACTGAGAGAACAAGACGCACAAATGCAAGTTGTTCTGCTTCTCTATCTTCTCCGCCCAAATGCCACACGCTCTGAGCAAACGGGCACTTGTAAACTTGCATTCCTTGTAGCTGCACTCGAAAGGAGGTGTCGAACCTGTTGCGGCCCACACGAGCAATTTCTCACAGCTCCAACGGCAGACAGCAAACGAAAGCGGCCTTCGTACTTGCATGCTCGTGTCAAGAAATACCCAGGTGCTCTCACTCCATCTAACCAGACGGCATGCCTCCAATGAACACCGCATGAGGCAGCGGGTAGAGCCGCAGCCTTGGAAGGATCCCTGGTGCAATAACGACATTCATGGATGCACCTTGTACGCAGCTTCCTGTCAAGTACCCCGCGTGTGGTCGTACTCCCACAGGATGTTACTTTCTTCCAGTGGCAGGGGGACAAGGTGCGCCTGCAGCTTGACATGTAGGTGGTGACGTTATTTCGGACGTACAAAGCTGAGCCGGGCAAATCGTGGCAGCAAGAAAACACTACAGACACACCAAAAATAATGCTCACAACACCTGTCATGCTGGTCTCGTTAAATTTTAGTTTGCAGCGCGAAATGCCGCACTCCGACACTGAATCATCGCAGCGCCTGATCCAAGATAAATCGCGCAGCCTGCGTGTACCGCAGATTGTCGAAACCTTGCACCTTCGGCTTGGAATTCAATCTGATACGCTTTTAAGGCAACGTGCATAGTATGAGTAGTTTTGTCTGGATTTTGTTTAATGTCTTTCTTTCGGGCAGCATTCGGGGGGTCAGCCGCCACCGTACTCTCTCCACCATCTTCTGTCTCTGTCTCGTTATCTCTTCTCTTCGAAGGCATGCAGTGCTTCGCAACTGTCTATGCATGGATGACGGGACTGGATTTTGCAACAAAAATCGGCAAGAAGTACCTGGCTCGTCCTTGGACTGGTCGAATGTGTCGAGGAAGCCGGGGCAGGGTTAAGCCGGTGTTGGTAGCCCCGGTTTGCTGTGTTTGGGTGACAACTGGATTTGCCATGGTTTCCCTCTCAGTGTCTCCACCTTCCCCGCCGCGACTTCGATGCGTACAGTACAGTTTGTGTGCCGCTGACACAAGCTGTCCTGGTGTCTGCAGAGGTGCCGTTTTCGCACTGCAGGGGAAATCTCCTCAGCTCTTGTGCAAAGGCACGGCTCTGCTGCGAATCGGCAAAGCGGCAAAGCATGAAGCAGGAAATCATTTGCAAAGTCCGTTCAGGGGAGACATGGGTGTAACCACAAGCAGGAACACGAGCGAGAACCACAACAAGAAACGCAGGAACCACAACAAGAAATGTAGGAAACAGGACAGCAAATTGAGGAATCAGAACGGCAAGTTGAAGAGCACCCCTCNNATCGATATGCCAGAGCCTTTTGCGCCCACAGATCAGATATTCACATGATCAGCAGCAAAATGCAGTTGCGCCCGTGCCCCCCAGCTCCCTGGACCCCAGAGAGGCCAGAGCACGGGCGCGTTCAAGGCCCAAAATGCCGAAATCTGTACTCCCCCGCGCCCGTGCCCCCCAGCTCCCTGCAAAGAGGCGGCCAGAGCACGGGCGCGAGGGAGTACGATTTTCGAGACTTTCAAGGCTCAAAATGCCGAAATCTGCACTCCCCGGCGCCCGTGCCCCCCAGCTCCCCAGCTCCCTGGACGCCAGAGAGAGGCCAGAGCACGGGCGCGGGGGAGTACGATTTTCGAGACTTTCAAGGCTCAACATGCCGAAATCTGTACTCCCCCGCGGCCGTGCGCCCTGAACCCCAGAAAAGCCAGCGGGGGAGTACGATTTTCGAGACTTTCAAGGCTCAAAATGCAGAAATCTGTACTCCCCCGCGGCCGTGCCCCCCGCGCCCTGGACCCCAGAGAGGCCAGAGCACGGGCGCAAGGGATCGAGACTTTCAAGGCTCAAAATGCAGAAATCTGTACTCCCCCGCGCCCGTGTCCCCCCGCCCCCTGGACCCCAGACAGGCCAGAGCACGGGCGCGGGGGGGTACGATTTTCGAGACGTTCAAAGCTCAAAATGCCGAAATCTGTACTCCCCTGCGCCCGCCCCCTTGGAGCGTGAGTACGATTTTCGAGCCTTTCAGGGCTCAAAAAGCCGAAATCTGTACTCCCTCGGAGCCTCGGAGTTTTGTGAGGTTACCACATAATCTTTTGATGTTCTTGCAGATGCTTGTTGATGTTCTCGGAGCCTCCGTGAGGTTACCACATAATCTTTTTGATGTTCTTGCAGATGCTTGTTGATGTTCTCGGATCTTTGTTGAGGTTTCAACCCTCTCTCCGTTCAGGGTGGCACGCGGGCCGCTTTGTTGGTTGTCTGCTTGGAACCTCCTCGCACCCCTCCCGTGGCATGCTCGCTTGTTGAGATGTGGTCTGGTCTGATAGTCCGTCTAGCTCGCGCCCAGTGCTCTGTGCTTCGCGAACGGACGTTTCAAACCTAGACCGTCTCGAGGCATGGCAAGTCCCTTCGATACGCTTCCTAAGGCTGCCGAAGCTGGCATCGGCCTTCCGGAGCCCTGATGCCAGCAATCTCCAGCAATCATACGCATAGCAGCACAGCAGGACAGCAGCGCCTGCGACTCCGATGAAGTCAGTGGAACGGCCTCGTGCTCTGGAAAGCGGCGAATGTTCACATGCCCAAACCCAGCAAGCGGTAGGCCTCGTGTCGACGAAGCAGGCGTAGGACATCGTGGCCTGGATGTTTGGCATTGGAAAAGTGCAGCCAGGTATGCCAGGTATACAGAAGGAACTCTGCAGGGATCCAAGCGGAAGAAAACCATCTCACGGCTGTAGTGCCTGACCTGAGTCGGCCATGCAGCGTGCAAGAGATACGCTCACCCCAACCAGGTGAGCGTGAAACAGTTAACAGCTATACACACAGAGCCCCAGGCTCGGCAGGGGTTTGTGCCCCTGACCTCGGAGCACTGTCAAGAGTCAGGGAGCAATGTCTAATGCTGAACTTCGACTCCTCCCGAGTCAAAAAGGCACCTTCTCTTCGATTCGAAATTCGAAGCCGCGACTTCAAAGTCTAATTGGGAGCTGGACAGCTGATTTCCTACTGAACTTCGCCTTCTTCTCGCACAAAGAACTGACGTTTCTTGTCCTGCTAGCTACTCGCATCTTGCCAACAAGAAAATTCTGGCAGCTATCCTGCTTCAGGTGACCAAACTGCAATGAATTGCGGTGGCCGAAGCTTGCAGGCTATCGGCCATCAGCTGTGGCACTTCAAGAACCGTGAGATAAGCAGAGCTGTCAGCGGTTCCAGCCCCAAGTAAGCTTGGAGTGATGTCTCTGCTCTCGGAACTTGCACCGACGCAGCCTTCGCCTACTTTCTACTCTTCTGAATCCACAAAAAAGATGATGGCATGTGTTCCAACCCTTCCATGCAAGACTTGAGAAGCTGGCTGCTGGAACGCGTGCACCACAAAAAACACAAGTGCAAGATGCAACATTGACCTGAACATGTAAGAACCCTCCCTGTCAGCTTGAAAGCGTTTGCTCGCAAATGCCACCCAACGTCATGCGCTGTCGACTGTTTCGCCTCACAACACACCGAAGGAGGTGGCGGTTTTCTCAGCATGTCTGCAGCTGCAGAAAATCAGGCTCGGCAGATTTATCCGAGAAGCTTTGTGCAGCTCGATCTTCTCGAGGATCGGCTATCAGCTGGCTTCTCGGGGAGCAACTCTCACTTCGCACCTGAGGGTCGGACCGTAGCAAATCCCATTCATGCAATAGCAGCGGCTGATGCTAAGTGACACAGGAGGTAGAAACAAGCCACGAGCACACGAGGCTCTCAAGATAAGTTTCCCCGTCCCCGGCGTGATTCTTCCCAGTGATCTTCGGCAGTCTCCCCTTCAGCTGCCTCGCTGCAGCACCGCTTTCTGAGCGGGTGGGCTCCGAGAAGCGCCTGATCCGAGACAGGCAAGACAAGTGGCAAGGCCAATCAGATCAGGCTTCTTACGCCTAAATCCAGGGGGACTAAAACCTGGGACCACTGTCCAAGCTCTGTGGACACCACCTCTTCGCCCGGTTGCGCTCGCAGGCTACCGCTGCTATGCGCTCCCGCTCCAGAACCTGGCAAAAGCCAGGCATAGTGTGCCGCTTTTCCAGAACTGAAAGCTGCTACATGGAAGGAACAGGAGGAGGAGTGGCCCAAAGCCTTGACAAAACAGCTGTGTAGGCGTGCATGTCCTTGCCACTCCGAAAAAAGGAGAAGGCGAGACAGTGCCGATTAGCATGACATCGGAGACGCTCGCTTGCTAACCCCTCTCGGAGACTAGAGCAGGGCATGCAAGTACAGCGAGCTGGTGGACCCAAGCCCATGTGCTTTTGATGTCGAGATAAGAACCTGCAAAGATGTGAATTGCATGAAACGGCATCTGCAGCACCTTGCCTTTCAAATGAGAATGGGGGGGGGACATTGAAAACGGCCTGAAGCTGAAATGTTAGGGTATAAGACGAGAAGGATGATTGCGGGTGTGTATGCTGAGGTTCGGCACATGATGAGAAACCGCAGCGAGGTGCAGAAGAAGACAACAAGCGGAGGCGACCCAGCAAGAGGCCCGAAAGGCAAAGGACATGGTCCTGTCGTGCACTGCCAAATCCGGGAAAAAGGAGCGTGACAGATGAGAATATGGGAGGTAAATGGATTCTTTTCCACGCAAGGCGCGGCTGCCCCAAAGAGGGACCGGGGACCTCGGTGAAAGCCTGTGCCCGTGAGGCAGAACATGATGCTGCAAAGAGCCGAGCGAAGTCTAATGATCCAGGCACAAGCAGACAACAGGAAGAGCAACAGCTGTCGAAAGAAACAAAGACAAGACGAAGAGGCAACGAGGCCGGTAACAGGCCCTACAATTAATTGACAATAAACACACCTGAACGCACCACAACCCAGCAGAGCCGGCATGCTGTCTCAGGCTCAACAACTTGCTTTGCACCGCATCCTGCTTTCAAGAGGCCTGCTCAGGACTGCTCGTCTTCACTTTCAACCAACTGGAGTCATGAATGCCTGTTGGTGCTCGTGTGTGCCCCTACATCTACCTGGATAGACCACCAAGGTGGCTCTGGTGAAGCCAAGCTGCAGTCACTAAGCGGAGCTGCTTCTCTGATCGGGACAGCGGCCAGTCCATGACCACGGAGGACCTGTGCCAAACCCAATGCATCCGTCTGCTGCCGGACGGAAAGCTTCAGAAACACAACAACAGCCAGACGAAAAACAGTGGCGAGCGCCTGCACGTGGCAGGGTCGCACTTGCAAGTGAAACAGTATGCATCGAGATTCTGGTAAAGCCATGGGGCCTGAACCTGTGATGGAGGTATTCTTGAAAGTCTATCAAGGAACGCTTTTGGGTGGCTGACGATGCACTCATCCTTTTGGATTCCCGTACCCCGGCAGCATGCAATGTTGCCGACTTGCGCTATGGGTGTGCACGACCACGAAGATCAATGATACAACGTTACCCATGACTCGGCGCCAGGCCCAAAGGGAACTTCCTCCTCGTCTTCACTGGAAGCCACAGCTGAGGGTGTGTGCACTTGCTCCTCCGACCGGCGTTTTTGAGATCTGTGCGAGACTGCGAGCAGGCCGAGAAGACACTGCGCAGTGCACTTTGAGGCTCCGAGGCCTTCTTGGCGAAGGCACGTTCACGTTCGCATAACCGAGCCTGGCGGCCCAGCCATTACGAAGGAACAACCTCTCCGTCTTCGGGCAGGTTCAAGCCAGCCTCACGCTGAGTCAGCTCGGTCTCCTTCTCGCCTCAGTCACGGGAAGTGCTACATGACAACTGGTGCATGCGTTTACCAACGTCAAAAAACAAATCCAAGACGGTCAATGCATCGTGTGGGTCTATGATGAATGATGACACATCGGCGACGGCCACGACACAACCAACTCACAAGTGTGATCACTTGCGAGATTTTACGAGCGCGCTATATTACGTGCACTCCCAGCGAGTCCTAGACTCCTAGACCCACTGAAATTATTCGAAGAGCACTTGAAGCGAAATGGACCCCATTGGACCGCAGGAATCCAAGTGTCTCAGGAGCTGCTCCCGGCACGCCTGACAAAGAGCTGGGCTCCAGTCGCCTCCTAGACTCCAACTATCTCCAACTGCTTCCAGTAAAGTGCCGTCCTTGCCTCAAGCCGGCCCTTTGGCATGGCACAACGAAATGCCCGCGCTTCCCGCAACCTTTCTAGCACAGCTCCGCACACAGCACAGCTTGGTCCACTGCAACCTACATCAACCTACAACCTGCTCTCAGACCGCTGCAGTGTCTTCAGCGCATCGAGAGCGTACTGCGTTGGAAGCCGCAGCCAGGCCACCTCCTTTCTGCCTTCACAAAGCGCAGACCGCTACATCTCTTGAATCTGCGACACACATAGCAACCAGAAGGAAGTCCATCTCAGCTCATGGCCCAGACGCAGTGCCACCAAACACGGACTCCTGAGAAGGGACTACTGTGTGTGAGAGAAAGCCGAGAAAACATAACTGATCTTGGATGAGTTTGCTTCATCAAGATGGCTGGACTGCGTGTCAAGATGTATGCCAAGATTCGGCTCGATCTCCACTGATGTGAATAGCTGCATGGCCACGGGCGTCTGACTGGGACCGGGCTCCTCCCATCACAATGCCGCACCAAAAACATCCGGGCGTGGTGTCGGATGAGCGGCCGTCCTTCTTGTAGAAGTGGATCATAAGGTCAGCATGCAAGCTGGCACTGGCTGGCTCGATGATACAGTATCGGCTGACCCAAATGCCCCACTCCACTGGAAGCAAGATCGGTGCCTGATGCACTTGTTGTGGCGCCCAACACCAAGACGTTGCAGAAGCTTACAGCATTACTGACAAGATATCTCGGCTCCGAACATGCCATCGCACGTCCACCCAGCAACGGAGCTTCCGCTGCATCGCTGGCATGAAGCGTAAACCCTTGGTTCCCTCTGCTCTAAGCCAGATGAAGTGAAGCATGTTTGATTCAATGATTCAAGGTGGATATGGATGCTCGTTACCATGGTTGCAAAGGAGTTCAGATTCAATGACACGGTACAAAACCATGATGTCTCTCCAGTTTTTCTGGTCGTGCCGGCACCGACAAGCTGCGAAGACGAAGCAAAAACAAGAGCCAACATGAGATTAGCATCACGGACAGATCCGATTGCAGATCTCGGGAAGCCTGGGGCCTGCACAACACCGGGAATCTCCTTGGCCAAGTCTGACATCAAGTAGTGGGGGAGAGGCGCCCTTGGCCTAGGTGCGTCAAGTACAAGAGCATGCTTCAGCCCAGTCGGAGCTTATGATCGGTCGGGGGGGCCGCGGACACCTGAGGAGTGGACAAGGTTTGTGCGCCTGGATCCTTGCGGCAGCAACTGAGTCCCAACTGCGAGGCACTCAAACCTCGGAGCATTTGTCCTTCGGCCCAGGAACGAAAACGAAGCTGGTGCCGTGCGTCACGTGGGCTTCAAGCCGACGCCTGTGGCTCGCAGCGAGGACGTGAGCCCGAGCCACCCTTTCAGCCGAGCTGCATCATGAACTTCAGCCGCTCGAAGCCTTCACGATAGCTTCGGACCTCAAGTATTAACACTTGCGAAGGCTGCAGCATGGCTTCGAGCCACAAAATGACAAAGACCATAATGGGCTTTAGCAACTGCCAGACGAGGTCGACAAAAGAGACTGCGATTGCTGCCGAGCCCCTTCACATCAACAATTCAGCTCTGCATGGGCAAGAAAGAACGAGGCTCCCACGCCCTCAGCTGTTGGAACGAAGGCTCGAGAGCTGAAGCTGCCCATGAAGATGTAGGCACTTGGCCTCAAATCAAAGGTGAGATTGTTCAGGGCAAGTTCAGCATCCGCCAAGCGTCCCGGCCTGTGCACACCACTGCTATCACTGATAAATGTGTCACAATACACTTTAAAGAGACAAAGTTCATCAAACTATTGAACATCGTGTACATGTACAGTAGGACACTCAGACCGCAGCACAGACAACAGGTCGTAAAATGTCAAAAGCGCTGCACCATTTTCCTCCCACTTTCCCCTTGTACCGATGCCTGCTAAACAATCCTGACAGCTGGGCCCTCTGCGGACCAGCTTCCTCATAGCCTCGCAGGAACACGGCAGCTGGGGGCAGGTCTTCAGTCAGCACGAACACACGCGCCCTGTCCACTTTGACTCGCACATATATGCTCTCGGGTCCCGGGCCCCCACCCCCCCCCCGTCCCCTCCCACCACTATGGTGCATTGGGTTTGCCCGCCCCTGCTGCGTGCCGCACCCCACCCCCTATGGTACCCCACCCCTGCCCTGTGCGGAAAGCAACAATCTGCGCAGTAGTTACCCGCATCAGACATGAATTACAATGCTTAATTATGAGGGTTGTGTGGCGATGGTGATGGTGGCATCTATTCTTTTGATGGTACTGATGATGAAGATGACGACGACAATGATGATGTTGAGCACGATTTCAAGGATGATCTGACTCGCGTCGCCGTCTAGAGCAGCACAACATCACGAGCAGTACCACCGGTGCCACAGCAAGAAGCAAGATAAAGAGTAACACATAAGAACTTCAAGAACGGCGGATGCGGGCCGCACGACCATAGTAGATGCAGTTGTAGACATGAACGGTGGTGTAGAAGATCAGAACAAGTGCTCTTTAAAGTTCCACTGTAACAGTAATTGAGTCACTAATCGTGACAACAGGTCCTTGTGTTACACGTGTTGCAAATTCCAATTCAGGCCAACCAAAGCCTCAGCGAAGGGGGGTGCAGAGCCCACCACAACAACGAAACCACAGGGGCGGGGTGGGGATGCAGGGGCGAAGAGTACCACCACAGGCCCTGCCCCACAGTGGGGGGGGGCAGGGCAGTAGGATACCATGGGGTGGTGGGGGAGGGGGGATGTGGCAGCCCTGCATCATACATGGGGTATGCGGGAAGCATGGGCCTTGAAAAACGACTTCCAGGTCATCCAAAACCTGCGCCTGCAGCTTGCTGGGTTTTGGCCACACAGCCGTTACACGGAATCGCTGCTAGTTCTCCCTGAGGGCCGGACACTATCCAAATGAACCTGCCCGCTCGTGCTGCCCACTTCCGAGCATACGCAATGCAGTGCAGCAGTCGGCCTCTGACAGCACCACGAACATGCCGTCAGGGTAGGCCGGCTCGTAGTGTTTCTGGGAACAGGAACAGAACAGAGTCCAACCAGTCTTCAACATTTAGCAGTCCCGCAGAAGCCGAAGCAGTCGAACGGCATAAAGACGCCGGTTGGCAGAAAGTCTCCAAAAAACAACACAATCTGCGACCTGCCCCAGGCCCTGCAATGTGTCGGGCTGTCAAAGCTGGCGAACCTCTAGCTTCTTCAACTGGTCGTCGGTGAGGTTGCCACCAAAGATCTGTCGTGGCACCTCCTCGCTGAGGCTTGCCTGCCGGGAGACATGGCTTGTGGCTTGCAGACACTCCGGGCCGAAGCGCAAGTCCTGCAAAATGGTGTCTAAAAAATCCACTAGTTGGCAAAAACCTGGTTCCGGCCCCAGTGCCCGCAACTGATCAAAAAGTTGATGCCTTCAGGAAACTTCCCAGCCAAGCCTTCCGAGTTATTGCTTCGACTTGGAGCAAGCCGTCGATCTTAGTGCACTAGGTTTGCATGACACGTCGAAGCCATGTGCAACGAAGTGGTAAAGGTACCCGGATCGGCAAACTTGGTAGCAAGCGCGAAAGATACCATTTTTCACCTCGCCCTCGGCAAGAATAAAGGAAGCGTCGGTCACAAAATGGCCAGACCTCACTTCAAGGGTTTCCACTGAGTAGTAACATGACGATGGAATGGGCACAAAGTGCACAAAGCGCACAAAGCGAAGAATGACAAGTCCCACGAGTCACTTAGTTAAGGGCGATTGCACAACGAGCTCCACTGGCATCACCTGAGGAGGTCGGAACATCGGATAGAGATGCTGCTCCAAATCAAGTGGAAATCTAAATCTGGCCTTGTGCAGATCTTCAATGACCCATCTGCCCTGCAACCTGGAAATCAAAAGCTCTGCTGGAACCATTGCGAGTATCATTACATTACATCGGGGCACGCGTGGAATCTCTTGCTGGCGCGTGCTTTGGATTCGGCTGCTGTAGTTGTACAGCTCAGACCCGTGTCGGGACACAGTGGTGATCCGCCGCCAAGCGCAGAGTCGGTCATGTCTCTGCAAGGAGGAATAAAAAGTCAAAAACAAAGGAAAACACGCGATGAAAAACACCAGAATCGCTTGAAAAGTCGTGTCGACATCTCATTCACGCAACACACACGTAGACACACACACACACACACACCCGCGCGCACGCTCACGCACGCCCACACTTGGGCATCCATCACGCAGCCAACTGCTCAGAACCTGTTCAAGCACGACATGCACAAACTCAGAATCACAGCATGGAGGCATCACTCTAGGTGTTGGTTACTCCAGTGCCACAGGGGGCCCACTGGCTAATCCGAAAGCAGGTACGTCTGGCTGATCAGGCCAGATATCACCATGCACTGGGTGTGTCTTCGTTGGGCACTGACTCAGGCATGCACTGCCCGCATGCAAGTCTGCACAGGATGAAGTGACCCTTGGTAACAGAGTTCTACACATACAGAAAGCCACTAGGGCATTCAGGGAACCTAGCTTCAGCTCGGGATCTGTATCCATCGGTTCTGGCTTGCCATGAACCTGCACTGTTCACTATGCGAATTTGCCACAGTGAACTCAACACCCCAGACAACTGAGGCATGCCTTACTTGAAGACTTCAGGTGGATAGCCAAACTGTACATATAACCGCGTGAGCTCTTGAATCTGCTCAGGGGCGGCTTCTTGAGGCCAAGAATATTGACGAATCAATGAGGCCCGAGAACAAAAACTTGAAGCACAGAGTTTCCAAGACCCTGCCTCGCGGAAAAACGAATTTGCCAGGGCTTCGTAAGAAGGTTAAACACGGCCTTCCGAGCTTTGGCATCAATCGTGAAACCCAACCATTGATGGTCAGACACAGTTTCGAGCAGGATCCCGTCGTAAAAGTGCGGATCGCAAAAAACTTTAAAATTAAAATCTGCTCGATGTAGAACGTCCGAGGGTGGTGCATCAGAACAAGTACGAGCTTGTTGCCAGTCGCGGTTGTTCCAACCCGACGATCCACTTGTTTTCCACGACGAACCAGACCATGCTCCGGAGCACCAATCTCGGTTCCACGACATTGTTCGAAGTTCGAGGGAGTTTTTTGAAGTGGAATCTGATCTGAAAACGTGGTCTGCGGATAGAAAAGCCGGTGATTTCATCGGATCTGCGAAAAGACGAGACCTGCAATGAAATCTGGCATCAAACCTTGCATAAAGCAAGGAACGAAAGACTGCACTACCCTGGCTGGATCGAAAGCCGGCACCATCGGAGCAGCAGTTTCCTTCGGACCTGTGAATTCCACGATGGGAACAAAACACTTCATCCCTGCCGAAATCACAAACAGCCTGGCAGGAACATGCACGGGCAACCCCACCGCAGGTAGCACGGTAAACGAATGCAAGACCAGCTTGTTCACGCAGCCACTGACCTACCTGTCTGTCTATCGAGCCCTGCTCGATGCAATCGTGCAAGCATGAAGCTTTCGGGGTTCCGGAACCATCGGTTGGCTGTTCTGGTTGTGTTTAAATGTACAAGGCAGCTGCTGAAGAACCTGTTCAGGCACGACATGCACAAACTCAGAATCACAGCATGGAGGCATCACTCTAGGTGTTGGTTACTCCAGTGCCACAGGGGGCCCACTGGCTGATCCGAAAGCAGGTACGTCTGGCTGATCAGACCAGATATCACCATGGACTGGCAGTGACTGTCAGGCATGCACTGCCCCACTGCAATTCTGCACGAATGAAGTAACTCTTGGTAACAGAGTTCTACACACACACACACACACACACACACACACACACGCACACTCACACAGAGACACACACACACACGCAAACACTTACTGAAGTCTGTTGTTTTGGACTCGCGGACCGTTTATCTCGAAATTGACGGAAATCTTGGAACCATAGATGGACTTGTTGTCTGCTGGGTTTGGAGCATATCGAGGCCAAAGTGAGGCCAATCAATGCGTTCGAATTTGCAATGATCGCGCTTTGCGCAGGACACGGCCGCACGCAGTGCGTCAGCAGTGGAACATTGGTCCAAACTGCGCACCGCGAGCCGGAATATTCCGTGTGCTGAGTGATGGATCGGTGCACGCTTCGCAGTTGCGGCAGCCCTCTTTCTCCTAATGCACAGCCAGACGCCCAGAGCGTTACCACACTGCTTGCGCGGAAACGACGAGATCTGCTATGCTCAATCGGCTTGTGGTGCACAATCGATCCTGCCCAACCGGACACGCCCAACACTCAAAGTGCTGACAGATTCGGTCAAGGTTTTGCCACAGCATCAACCACACTGAATCGTACATATTGAGGCATACTGCCTCTAGAGCAGCGTGGATAGACACAGACTTGAGGCAGTGGCTCATCGTCAAGTCTGCGCAGCAGCCCAAAGGTGAGCTTCCGCCCAGGGTTTCCAACCAGCGACCTCAACTTGCAAAGACTTCAAGCAGTGTGGTGTCAAGTGTGCCAGCTGGGCTTCTGGCGCCACTGTTGTGAGCGCCCGCTGGCCGGGAAATATCCCTTGCACGGCCTTCAGTGGTCTACAGTCTCTATAGTCAACTGTGCCCTTTGCAACGACAGCTCCGTTTTTGCACTCAGATCCTGACCTTTGCTTCCGGCACCAACGAAGGCCTGAGGAACAGGCTGTAGCTTGCAGAGAACGTGCAACGACCATCCTTGTTGCTTGTTCAATTTGCTGCCCTTCTTGCTCAGCAGGATTCGAATCCACCGATGCCGGGTTTCCGTCGAAGCGCAACACATTTTGGAGAAAGGCCGAGACGGCGGAAGCGGCAAAGAAAGGTCGCCTTCTGCACCGAGACCGAAGCCAAACATGCTTTCGAGTATCATTACGTTGTGGTTCTAGACACCTCAAACAAATGGATGCTCCAGTATGACAAGGCTATCTTGCAAGCACCTAGCCACAAGTCAGAAGTTGGTGGCTTTGATCTCACAGCTGTTGTGGACTGCTCGCAACAATCGATGACGACCAGGCAATACCTGCATGCATGTGTAAGCTGAGCACCCCATTGCTGAGGATTCCGCTGAAGATTCTCGTTCAAGTTAAGAAAGAGCCGATGGTACAGCATCTCATAGCCTAGGCTGCCACAAGGCACTGCCTATCACCGCACTTCGATTTTTCGAGTATCCGCTTTCAATGGACACGACACAGTCCGCGATCTGCTTGCAGCGCGGATTCTTCTACAATAATCTCGGATGCTGGCGTTCTTGGTAGATTCTGCCTTTGGAATCCACCGGGGGAAGCAAAGAGGGCCTGGGCTTGCTTGACAACGGCCTGTCCCTGAAGGAAAAATGTTGCAAATTGTGCAAACCAGCCCGTGGCATGTCGGCAGTCCAAGCAGGGGGCTCTCGGCTAAACGCTTCCCAGATCTTGGAAGCTGCGTTGAAGGCGTAAGGCATCACCTCAGACGCGAGTCGCCGGATGCAATGCGAAAATGTGTCTCAATTCACTGCTTCTCACAGCCCATTCAACCCTCAATTCACTGCTTCTCACAGCCCATTCAACCAGTCCAGGAACTGAGACTGCTGCCTGCGTCAAGACATTGTAGACCTGCACGTGCATGTCCTCTTCCAAACGAAGGCCCTGGCCGTGAAGATCCGTGCAGAACAATCGATGCACTCTGTGGGTGGACGGTTTCTGCTACAAGGGATGCACTCGACCACACATGCAAAAACAGACATTAGAGACATCTCGCTTTCGCGCAAGAAG